ACTACACACGATATGAAATTTAAGACACCATATACGCAACAACAAGATGGAATCCACAGATATCCTGAGGAACCGAACCACCAGAGCAAGGTAACAGGCAAACTTCATCGCTGGTGATGGAACAGGAGCGGGGAGCAGGGAGTGTCCTCCGAGCATGACTTTCTAAGGCTTTCCTGTGCACAGCCAGCAGGAGCGTCGTAGATATGTTTCTGGAGACCTATTTCACCACAGACACCAAAAACCTTACAGTGGGTCCTCGATTCAATTCTGCTTCAGTCATTTTCTGCTAAGGATTGTGCTACAGATGTGCACACAGACTTAGGATTCAAGAATATTTATCACAGCAGAACAAATACAAGGGGGAGGCGGCAACAACGCCGACCCAGAGGGAACTGTGTGATACCGTGGACTCATTAAAATCGACATTTAAAAATGTAAATGGAAAACGACTACAATACATTAATTACAATTAAAGAGCAGGTCACCCAACAAGGTGTCACCTAAGATATATGAAGGATATACTCAATATGATTAACTAAGATTAGCTAAGGTCATGAGGAGTTATGGGATTTCTTAAAATTTTATCATTTTTTCCCCTAACATGTACATATATTACTTATTAATAAGAAAAAAATATACAATCACACTTCTTAAGAATAAAGCTGAGTTTTCAACTCTAAAACTGAGTACCAGACCCTGCACAACCCCCAGATTCCCCATGGATTCAGAGCCCCACTACCTGCAGAAGCGCTCTATCGATGCTCATCACAGTGGCTGAGACAGATTAAATAAAGAGATAACATTCCAGATTTTCTGTCTCTTATCCAACTGTGTGGATTGGTTACACAAATCCATACATGCATTAGACCTCACTGAACTGCATACGCCCCAAGGAAAAGTTACAAGCAATTCCCTGTAAAAATACAAAAGTATTTCTGACGGCAAAAGTTTTTAGATGCTGTAAAGAAAAAAGAAAAAAAAAGGCACGACCTTCCCTGATTAATCAAGTCTTCCTCATGAGAAAGCTACCACTTCCCCAGGTAATCTCATCGCTCCAGATGTAACCGTGTTTCTCTGTCAAGTGGAGGTGATCACAGCTCTCTCAGAGTACTTGCAAAGGTTCGGCGTGGTTATGAAACGGAATGCTATGAATGGGGACCCTGGTTGTGGTCACTGTCACACCCACTGCCTGAACACCACCTCCCTCCAGGAAGCTCCCTTCTCTGAATTCTGTGTGGTAGGGGCACGTGGCTGACTCTTAGGGAGCACTGCATAAGGTGTACCCTGTCGCTCGCCCAGACGCCTGGCTCCTCCCGGAGCCAGCGAATGCCATACAGAGCTAAAGGTGGGAGCAGCGGCTCACCGTGAACACCAATGACGAGGGCCCAGATACCTCAGCTCACAAACCCATTACGAGAGTATCCATTTAACTCTAGCTTTAAGATGTTTATCCTCTTACTTGTCAGTCAAAAAAGACTTTAAGCCGAGTAAACAAACCCTAAGATGAAACATTTAACTGTGTTAATTTCCAAAGCCCTGTGGTCATCTTCAGCTTCTCAAGGTCACACCTCCCTGCTGAATGATTACCCAGGGTTGCTGACACGGTACGTGGAGAAAACACTCTTAGGATGTCCAGCCTCTAGGAGAAAAAGCAAACAGCTCAGAATCCAGCCAGCCACGGCAAAGGAACCACCGACAAAGCCAAACACACAGGAGCCCCCGAGCACTGGGAATCTGCCTGTTCCTTTACCTCCTCGAAAGGAACGAATCACAAGACTGCTCGGAATAAGAAATGAAAAGGGCAGAAGCCCGGAAAGCAGCCGGGCCTGAATTTTGTGCTGCTTCCAAGGAGTGAGCCCACCTGCTGTGTCGGTTATTTGCACAGTGGGCAGGCGAGGCTGACAGCTTGAGGGGGTTATTTTAGAGGGAGAGCTGTAAGTCTGATCAGGAGAACGTTCTGGACCCTGGGCTCCCAGCAAGCATCTCCAGCTTCCAAGCTGACCCTCCCTTCGCACAGGGGTTAAGAGGCAGCCCGGCAAGCATGGTCTTTGTATTTAAATCATCTCAAGGGGGCCCATATCTGCAGGCACAACCAGAACCCAGGGAGGAGAGGGAAGGGGGAGAGGGAGAGGATACCTCCACTCATATCTGCTGGCTGCGCTTCTAGAGCGCCTGATCCAGGAAGGTAAATGCACGGACAGAACAGAAGGAAGAGTCTGGGAAGACTGGAAGACTAGAAGAGCCGCTAGCGGACGAGTCTCAACCTGAACCACAGAAACACCTGTGCCTCCCTGTCCTCCTCTCCTCGGCTGGGCACCAGGTGCCTCCCTGCTGTGTGCACTCCAGATGCAGATCCAAGCTCGGTGGTGCCCAGTGCCAATGCCTCTCTCAGGCACAGGGACTCTAGGGCATCAGAGGGGCTCCCAGACAGCACCTGTAATCTCTAATTTAAAAACAAAACCAAAAACCCCAACCAACCCAAGCCAGCACGAGCAATACATACTTATGTATAAGACTCCGATGCACACATACACGTTCACTTATCTACACACACACACACACACACACACGCTTTTACAGCAGAAGGCAGGCAGGAAACCTGTTCCCTAAGTCCTTTGCTTTCCTCATCAGCTTCTAGCAGCAACAGCCATTTCTGCTACGGATTTTCTTTTGCGAGGGTTGATCACAGATCTAAATGCCACCATCCTGCTTGCCCCCCTTTCCTACCCCACCGGCCCGCTGAGGTCTGTCAACGAACCAGGGAACAAAGATGGAAGACAGGCCCAAGCGTCCTTCCTTGAAAGTGGGGTTAGATTTGACACTTTAATAAACCTCAGAGCCTGAGCCTCTCTGCTCTCAGAGTGGCCAGGGTGCAACTCTCACTCTTAACAAACCCGTCCATCTCTCTCCCCCCACCACTGGGCACAAGGGTTTTCTCTGCCCGGCATTTATTTCCAGGCCCCATAAATCATATCCCATTGTTCCAGGCCGTCTGAACTCATGCTTAATAAACCATCCACCTCACCCTTCTGCCACTACTCCGAATTTCCCGCAAGGAAAGACTGTTTCAAGGAGAAAAGGAAATTCTTCATTAGGGCTGGATTTTAAAAGCAAGCTTCCACACAAAACCGGAAGACAAAATTGGGTATAAATACCATCCAATAACCACTAATGTCTTTGGTTAAAGCACCTGCCTGCCTGTGATTCTCAGGTCTATGTGTGAGCTCAGTGCACATCCGAAGGAAGCAGAATTTGAACCTGATGCTAAATGACGAATGATCCTGAACTTCATGACCATTTAAGTGCCGCAGTGGCTAGCTAGATTAAATTGCTTTGATGCAGAATTTCTCCCAAGTATAGGTTACTGAGAAACATAATATTGCTTGAAAATGTATTTACGTGCGTTCATCCTTCTCATACCAACACTCATGGATCTTAGTCATAACCAGGCTTAAGCTAGCACGATTTCCCTATTTTCCCCGGAGAGGGAGGGAAACAAGAGGACATGTATCTCATGTTCCAAGATCAAACACTGGATCACAGCACCCACAGCATCGAGTCTGCCAAACCCGAGCTCTGGGTACGTACAATTGTTAAAGAGCTAATTGAATGGAATACAGCCGTCTGGGGCTGGAAACCCTTATGACATTCTGGGGAATGTACGGGGTTTAAAAGGATTATGCAGGGTGACGTGACTTTGAAAATTCCCAAACTCTGAACCGAAGCCTAAATGAGAATATGTTAAATTCACCCATTCCAAAACACGGCACAGTTGACTTGGACCCTACGAGCCCAGCTGTAGCTCAGGGTGTCCACACTGCAGCCTGTCCGTGGGAGGTCTGCAGACCACTCCCTGCTGAGAGAGTCCAGCCAACCCAATCAGCCTACCAGCAGGCTGCGGCACAAGGTCCAGATCCAAGCCCAGGCACCAGCCAGGGTTCCCTGGGGCCTGCCCTCCTATGGTTGAACAATAATCAGGGAGTGCCACAGGGAGAGCCGCATCGGGCCCAGTATGGCCACTCCCTGGTCCTCGACAACACTGGGTGCACACTCTTCCACACACGAAAATGGTGTACAGAAACAAGGGCCTGCCGCAGTAGGCTGCTGAGCAAGGAACAGAAAGCATCAGGGGACAGGTGGGAACTACTGGCTGGTCTCCACCTCTCCCAGAGGGCAGATGCCGCAGAGCTTCTGCAGGCTAAGCAGAGACGTTTCAGAACTACCTTCCCAAAAAGAAGGCAGTAAAGGAGGACTTCAAGCAGCCACAACTGCCAGCAGGCCTGCGACCTCCAGATATCAGGGGCTTGACCATGACCGTGTCGGTAAGCAGAACACACAAGTGCCCTCCGGAGCGAAAGCAGACACCTTAACGCTGCTAAACTTGTCCTCTCACTCTTCTCTGCTCTGAGCAAGTGATCCTGAAAGGCATGGACAAAGTTGTCAGATTCACTGGAGAAAACACGAGCCAGCGAAGATGTCCCGGCTCGCACTGGGCCTCCCTCCAACGGCTAGCTGCCCCACCCCCTGGCACCTGGGTAAGGCTGCTCTGGGGCCATCCACACAAAACGATTTACGCACCCCCCCACCCGCAACACACACACACACACACACACACACACACACTCACACACAAGCTGCATCAGGCTTTACTAACCTAACGCAAACGCACCCCTAAGGAGCAGCCCTACAGGTGTGACTGGGTTGGACACTCCCAGCAAGTGAGGGAAGGCCCCCCTCTGGGTCCTTGCCAGCGGCAGGGTGCCGGCCGGGGCCTCCGCCTCATCCCTCTCCATCCGCGGGGAAGTCGGAGAGGCCCCTACCAACCACCACCACGCAACCAGATTGATTCTCGCACTTCAAATCCCCGCTACCGCGGCCCCATCTGTGTGCCGACACGAACAGCCGCCCTCGGCCAGCCGGCCCACGGAGCGTCTGGAGTTCTCCCGGCCCGGCGCTCACGCCTCCCCGGGCCGCCCCCGCCCCCGCGGGCCGCGCCTTACCGCCGGTGTCCTCGAAGCGCGGGGGCGGGCGGTCCCGCAGCGTGGCACTCCAACCCGCGCTGGCCTCGTCCTCGTCGGACTCCTGCGCGTCGGGGGCGCCGGGCGGCGGCGGGGGGCCGGGGCGCTCGTGTTCGTCGTCCGAGGAGGCGGCCGAGGAGGAGCGCGAGGCGGCAGACGTGCTGTAGAAGGGGTTCCCGCTGCTGTCCGGGCCGGACTCGCCGAACACGTCGTCCGAGATGTGAAGGCTCTCGTAGCGCGCGCGGGCCGCCTCGAGCAGCGCCGGCGCCCTCCTCCGCGCGCCCCCGCCGCCCTCGGCCATGGCCCCGGCCGCCGCCCGCGCGCCCGCCCCCCACAGCGCCTCCCAGCCGCACGCGCCGGGCCCCGGGCCCGCGCCGCGGCCCGCCGCCCCCCACCAGCGCAGCCCGCAGCACAGCGCCCGCCGCCCCGCGCCCGGCCGGCCCGCCGTCTTGGCCGCCTCGGGCCCAGCGCCCGGGGAAGCGCCCTCGGAGCTCGGGCGCCGCAGGCTGCTGGCCGCGGCGGGACGCAGAGCGCGCAGGCGGGAGGCAGGGGCTGCGGCCGGGCCCAGGCGCCGCCGCTACCGTTGCCGATACTGTCGCCGCTACCACCGCCGCTGCGTCTCCTCGGCGCCCGCCGCGTCCCCGCGCGCCCTCCCGCGGCACCCCGCGCTCCCCGGCCGACCTTCCCGGGCGCGAGCCGCCAGAGGCGGACCCCGCCTCCTCGCACCTCCGGCCCGCCGGCCAATGGGGAGCAGGCCGGGGCGGGGCCGGCGCGGGTCACGCCCCACCTCCCTCGCCCGGGCGGGGCGAGGAGAGCAGCGGTGGCGGCGGCGGCGGCGGCAAGGGGGAGGGCGGCCGGTGGCTTCCTCGCCTGCGGGGACGTGCGGCCCGGGACGGCCACCCGCAGGCCCCGCGCGGCCCCGTAGGGGGAAGGGAGGAACCGAGTGGGTGTCAGGGGTTGGGGGGGACGCAGCCGGTTCTTCCCGCCGCCCGAGCCGGCTCACAGAGCGCGAAGCCCGCGCTCTCCGTCCCCTTCCGCAGTCGGCGCCCGGCGGCGGCGGGGAGCTGTCCGCCCCGGTGGTTCTGAACCAGGCGCTGCGGAAACTCCCAGGTAGGCGCCGGGCCCGAGGGTCACGATTCCCGCGGCTGCTGCGGCCGCTGCTGCTTCCGTGCTCCACAGCCGGCTGTGCTGCGAGCTCTGCAAGCACGAGGGCTATCTGGCTTCCGGGAGCCTTGCTCTAATAAGGAGCCCGCCTCGCCGGTCCATTCCTGGGGTCAGGTGGTAACTCAGTCTCGCTTCAATACCCCTGTAATTTGAGGGGGGGGGCAACATCCGGTCTTAGTCATTCCTCCCGTCTTTGACCTTTGACATCTTTTAAACTCAAAATATTCATTACCTTCTAAATATTAATTACTCGAACACCACTATTGCAACATCTTCACCCATACGTTTGACACACTTGTCTGATAAAATATAGCACAATCACCCAGGCTTCGGTGTTCTGATAAACAATAGATAAGAAAGGTTTCATCCATCCCTCTGCCTTGGCTAGGAGTGCGTGGCATTCATTCTGTTGATGACGATACACGTGATCAGGCTGTTTCTTGCTCCTCTCTCCCTCCCACAATAATGCAATAAGTCACAATGATGGTAATTGGGCCATAAAGTCACTTGCACTCTGAAATAAAATAAATCCACAGAGATGTGAAGGGCTTGCAAATCCTACTGGGTATTAACTAAATAAGGATTACACGAAAGGGAAAGGCATATTGCTATTTCTAAGCATGCATAAAGGATGAAAATGTTGGGACCACCAGCTACGGTCAGTTCTAACAGCAGGTGAGCAGCTTCTGCTCTCGCCCTCCCCTCGCAAGCCCCTGTTTCCTCCTCCCAAACCAGAGTCTCTGTACCAGCATGAATTCCTGATCATCACTGAAAGATGATATATAAAAAGGAAGGGATTCACATGACATTGCTTTCTATATGAATTGGCTGATACACGTAAAATTGTTTGCAAAGCATTTCAACTCCATTGGAAGAATTGTGTCACAGAAAAGAACTGGTTTCCAGCACATCTCTATACTGTGTTAACCAGGGAAAGATTCTGAAGAGAGTTCATACAGGTAATCAGACTTAAAAAGGTCAATGACACATAGATTGAAGATGAAAAGTAAGACTCCGTAGCTCAAGTTCAAATTCTGCAATTAGGAATTCTGTAATACTCCTGTAAAATTTAATGATATATATTTTAAAAAATAATTGAAAGGGATCAAAACACTGAAATACATAGGCAAGAATTCCTTCTCTTCTCCAGGCAGCCAATGAAAAAGTCAGCAGCTAAAGTGAGTATGTATTTTAAAAACAATGGCTTACTTTGCTACCCAGAGGAAGCACAAAGTAGAGCAGTAACAGTTACAAGGATGGACACAGTCTTCCATTGTCGCAAATTTGCATTTGTATGGTGCTAATCCCAAAGAAACCTTAGAGTCTTTGTGCTTATGAGCCCACAAGTGCTTGTAGCTCACACAGCATGCAACACTGCGGTCCTTCACAAAAGAAATAGACTGGGAAATGAAATTGTTATCCAAACCCTGGCCCAACAAAAAATGAGATGGCTATGTCCACTTAGAATCAAGGGTTTAGCAACCAAGTGTTACTTTGTTTAAGCAAATGTTTCCAACCAAGAACAGTAAAAATATTTCAGCCTTTTAAAAACAGGTGGCTGGCTTGGGGCGCCTGGGTGGCTCAGTGGGTTAAAGCCTCTGCCTTCGGCTCAGGTCATGATCCCAGGGTCCTGGGATCGAGCCCTGTGTCGGGCTCTCTGCTCCGCAGGGAGCCTGCTTCCCTTCCTCTCTCTCTGCCTGCCTCTCTGCCTAATTGTGATCTCTGTCTGTCAAATAAATAAATAAAATCTTTAAAAATAAAAAATAAAAAAATAAAAACAGGTGGCTGATTCTCCTTGTGAAAGGAGAAGAGGAAAGGGAAGAAAACAATTGGAAAACAAAAACCAAAAAACTTTCCCATCTGCTTGGCAACCTCCTACTCAGTGCTACGATTATGGTTCTACATCATTAAGTTTTACAAGTAATGTTGTCTGGGAGGATAATTATAGAACCAGCATTATACTGAGATCTTTTAACTTTGAGTCATTTAAACACATCTTCCAAATAATACAACTTTGTAATATAATTAAATAATTTTAAGATTAATATTGAGCTTTTGGTTCATAGTCTGCACAAAAGGCTCCAGGGTAGTAAGAACAATCCATTTCAGTAGTAGATTCCTTAGGCTTTGTTAAGCCAGAGAGGTTCATGCTCTTGTGAAACTGGGGATAATAGCCATATTTCATTCAGTCTTGGCCTCCTTTCCTGGTATATTTTAATAAGAAATAAAAAACGCTACCATTCAAACTATGATACAATGTTTTCTTTTCATTAATATTTTAATTTAAATGTATTCAAAAAGCTCTTTGGTAAGTATTCAGACAGATTTTTATCATGTATGGCCTTAATGCATACATAAAAATAAACGTTAAAATTGTTGGTTAACGTTTTTCCAAACCTCACATTAAGAATCTCACTACTCTTATTTACTTTCTAACTGAGAGATTTCAGTGCCCAGATTTTTCTCACAATATGTTCCTCTGAGCCACCCAGAGCTTCTGTCATGCTGCACTTAAAAAATTTTTATTATTAGACATATAGCTGACATTCAGTGTTAAATTAGTTTCAGGTGTACAACATAGTAATTTGACAATTCTATACATTACTCAGTGATCACCACAGTAAGTGTATCATCACCAGTCACCATACAAACTTATTATAATATCATTGACTGTATTCCTGATGCTGTACTTTTCATCTCCAGATGAGAACAGGAAATTATTTTATTTTTTTTATAACAGGAAATTTGTACCTCTTAATCCCCTTCATCTATTTCACCCATCCCCCATCCACCTTCCCTCCCATAACCACCAGTTTTGGTCTTTATATTTAAGAGTCTGTTTCTGTTTTTTTTGTCTGTTCACTTGTTTCTTTTTTTAGATTCCACATAGAAGTGAAATCACAGGGGTGCCTGGGTGGCTCAGTGGGTTAAAGCCTCTGCCTTTGGCTCAGGTCATGGTGTCAGGGTCCTGGGATCAAGCCCCACATCGGGCTCTCTGCTCAGTGGGGAGCCTGCTTCCCCCTTTCTCTCTGCCTGTCTCTATGCCTGCTTGTGATCTCTCTCACTCTCTCTCTGTCAAATAAATAAATAAAATCTTAAAAAAAAAAAAAAGAAGTGAAATCATATGGTATTTGTCTTTCTTGGTGACTTATTTCTCTTAATCTAATATCCTCTAGATCCAGCCATGTTGTCACAAATGGCAAAATCTCATTCTTTTTTATAGCTGGGTAATATTCCATTATATTATATTCCATTATATATATAATGGAATAGATAATATTCCATTATATATATATATAATGGAATGTATATGGTGTATATATATATATATATATATATATATATATATACACCATATCTTTACCCATTCATCCATTGATGGACACTTGGACTGCTTCCATATCCTGGCTATTATAAATAATGTTGCAGTAAACCTAGGAGTGCATATATCTTTTTGAATCAAGTGTTTTTATTTCCTTTGGATAAATACCAAGTACTAGAATTACTGAAGCATATGGGAAATCTATATTTAATTTTTTGAGAAACCTCCATACTGTTTTCCACAGTGGTTACACCAATTTACATTCCCACTAACAATGCCCAAGGGTTCCTTTTTCTCCACATCCTGGTCAACACTTGTTCTTTCTTGTCTTTTTAATACTAGCCATTCTGACAGGTATAAGGTGATAGATCTCCCTGTGGTTCTGATTTTATTTTCCTGATGATGAGTGATATTGAACATCTTTTCACATGTCTGTTGGACGTCTGTATGTATTTTTTGGAAAAATGTCTATATAGGTCCTCTGCCCATTTTTCAATTGGATTATATGTTGAGGTTTGGGTTTGGGGGTTTTTTTTTTGGTGTTCTTTACATATTTTGGTTATTAATCCTTTATTACATTTAACATTCACCACTATCTTCTCCCATTCCGTAGGTTCCCTTTTCGTTTTGTTGTTGGTTTCCTTTACTGTATAGAAGGTTTTTATTTTGTTGTATTCCTAATAGTTTATTTTTATTCTTGTTTCCCTTGCCTAAGCAGACATATCCACAAATATGTTGCTAAAACCAATCTCTAAGCGATTATTACCTATTGTCTTTTAGGAGTGTTATGGTTTCGGGTCTCTTATTTATTTATT